GGCCCCCCGGCCGTTAGGCCCCCCATCTGATATGGGGCTTTGAGGCGGCGTGATAAAGGTTTCACGTGGGATCACGTGGGTCCCCCTGTTCTGATTACTAAGATAACTACGCACTAAAAAGGGACAGGGTTCCCCAATGCGTTCAGTTCATCTTTGGGACACCTAATTGCAGCTACACGGTACTTACCGGGGTTTCCACGAGCTAGAAGCCATAGCATAAGGATAAAAAGAGATGTCCCACGGTACGTCTGTGCATTGACTGCGGTTTCTTGACATGCATTGCCAGGGCCCCGACTCCTTTGCGACAAGAACATCACAAATCGAACACAACACGTAAGCCTCCAACCATTTCCCTCACGGAGCCCTTGCACATGACGGAAATGTGTTTGCAGCGCGGAGGCCTACTGGATTGAAGGCTTGCTCAGACCCCCAAGGAAAGAGTTACAGTGAGACCTACTAGGACCCTACACATGAACCGGTTGACTTTGTGGGGGGGTTCTGACCTTTGGTTGTTTCTCTCTCTTCTTCTTCCCCAGGNNGGGTCTGTCAAACCCCCCGGCCAGTTGGCCCCGCAAATTTCATGTTTTTTTTTCCCTCTCTCTCTCTCTCTCTCTCTCTCTCTCTCTCTGTTCCAGGTGGGGAGAGCAGGGGTGTGTCCGACCCCCACCCTCCGTGCGCGAGCGCGCACCTGCAGTCCACAGGCGTCTTTTGCCCCGCCGTTTCGTTGTAACGAAGGGCTCGGCTGTACGTGGAAAAAAGTGTTTCCCCCACTGCCAACTCAAAGCTAGTCCCCGTTGAAGATAAGTAGGTTCAACCTTGGCAGTGGCGAAACCGGGTCCCTCCGTCTTGGTGGGATCTTTCCGCCCGTCTTGGGGTGGCGCACCTATGACAAACGAGCAACAGCACTGAGGTCCGGGCCGACTAGAAACATCTTCACACGGGTGCTCGTTTGTCCCCGGACAGAATCCGCTACAACTCTTGGACGCAGGGAATCTAAGCTGCAATAGAGCTACCCCCAACATGTAACATCCAAAGGCTGCTGTATTAAGATTCCCCCGCATGTGGCTCTTGAGTTGTGGCACTGCTGGTCGGTAGGTGGTGGCTGAAAAGTTCTCCCCCCACTGCCTGACACGAAAAACCTGGCTCTCTCTCTCTCTCTCTCTTCAACACAGTCAAAGGGAAAGCAAGGCGCTCCCCCTCGCGCGCGCACGCGCCCTGTTCGTCTTTGTCTCAGGTAAAACTGCTACACCAGATGAGGGCCTCCGTGCAAAAGCTCTTGAACCCCCTTTACACTAACCTAGTTTCCCCCGGGCCTTGTCTGGGAGCCGGCTACCGGCTCTGGTCTGGCGTCTCGCACTTTGTTGCAAGCACCCGACTCTCGTGCTCAGGCTGCCCCCACCAACAAGAAAAACAGGAAACACATGTACTATCAGCACCAACTTAAGCACCCAAACTGAGCCTCCGACCTTGGCCTGGGAACCGAACTGAACTCGCAACCAGGTAGCTCCCCCCATAAGTCCAAAGTAACAGCATAGGGCTTCTCTCTCTCTCTCTCTCTCTCTTTCTTCCTTTCGACATGGTTCGGGGAGGGGGAAGTTCCCCCGCCCTCGCTCGTAGGCGCCCCCGCCTGTTGCGGAGGGAATGGTGAAGCACTCCAACCACCAAAAATCAACAACACAACTTTCATAAAGTCGTGGCCCAAAGAGCTGGAATACAGAATTTCCGGAAGATATCCAGGAAATTTGTGTTTCTAGTCTTGCCATGTTGGTCATGCTGGTTTGGTTTTCGCTTTTGTGCATTTTTGTAGTAGTCGTATTATTGATCGGGGCTGGCTGGTGTTCATTGGCTTTGCTGACGTGGTGTCTGCCAACCCGGCGTGTATGTATGCATGTGTATGTGTGTATGTATGTATGTATGTATGTATGTATGTATGTACGTACGTACGTACGTATGTATGTGTATATATATATATATACACATACATGTACACAGTAAGTACATCTGCAAGCATGTAGCTGGCTCACACTTCTTCTCTCGCACTGTGCAAGGCTGGCTTGCACTTCAAAAGGCTGATGGAGTCGCTCCTCGTGCCAACCGATCAAATAGAATCAGAACTCCTGCTTCCAAGCAGCATCACCAATGCTGTTGCCTTGGCTATGATCTCTGTTCGGAAAAAGCTACGGGCAGCATGGACCAGGTGGAGTCGACATCTGTCAGATGCACTAGCACTGGATAACTGTACGGAGCGGCAGCATCCCCAAGCGAATATCGGGAAGCCACGACATCACTCTTTGTCAAATCATCTCGCGTTTGACCTCGAAGGGACTTCTTTAGGCTGAGGCCATCCTGGAATGTGTGGCTTGATGCAGTAAGCCGCCAAGAACCTCCCATTGAGATTTTGTTGTTCATTGAAGTCCGAGTGATGTGCACATGCCAGCCCAAAAAGGCAACAACAACGAAAGCTCTTGAGCTTTCGTTCCTTTACCTTTGGCGCTCAATGCCAGAGCCCTTGGCAGGCTGCAATAGAGGTATAACCGGCGCAAGGCAGGAAGGCCGCCGCTCCGAGCCGCAGCCGAGAAAGCCGACAAGCCCGCGTCCCCGAAATGGTTGTCCTGTCAGCGGCTTAAAGATGCTGAAAGCATCTATTTGAGGGTTTCTGTGGAGCTAGAAGCACATCGAGGCACAGTGGTAGTGCAGAATCTGAAGCAGCTGAGTGCACGACGATTGCAAAGAAGTCCGTCAGCTGGCCTGAGTTCGAAACGAAAGCTCAATCCCATGATGGAGTTGGTGAACATGGCGCAGCAAACTTTCATTCTGTCGGGACTATACGTGTCGGACGTTTTCCTATGCAATCAGCAGGATCAGACCAGTCCTTCTCTGAAGATGTCGGCCCAGTAGCTGAAAGGGAGCAGCATGCAGGCCCTTGCCAGTGCAGACAAACCCCTGTCACCGACTTCGTTCACATTGATGCAGAAGTCATCCACAGAGGCCATCGTGATGCAAAACCTTGCACAGGTGCTGTTCCTGGACTCGTTATTGACGTCGCAATACATGCAAATAAAAGTTCAAGCCTGGCTTTGCTCAGGCTACTTCCTTCACGCTCTTTTCGAAGCGGTTGCCAGAGTATTTATCGCAAAGCAGGTGCCTGCTTGTGAGTTCTTGGCACATAACAATGGCCAACTACCAGTAAACTACCATGTTACAACCGTGATCCGTCCTATCTTGGGAGCATGCTCGGTTGAACTAGCCAGGCTATAATGCATGTCCATGGATGCTGAATCGACATGATCTTGCTGCTGTCAAGCCGCTTCGCACTCGAACAAAGAATCTCCTTACATCTACAACTTGAAGCCATCGCGACCGCTGCATACCTCCATGCGGGGCCCAAACGGTGCTGTGCGGCCCAGGTGCAAGCTCATCGTCCGTCAAGAAGCTTTTCCTTGCATTGAAGACTCAGATTTGTGATCTGTTGCAGGGGGTGGTCTAATGCGCTGCTCAACATGGCGGCTTTGGGACAAGGATCTTGAAGTTGAGCTGCTTGGAATCGAACTTCGCGCCCCTGGCCTTCACAAGCTACGAAAAGCAAGTGAGTGAGCCGGCAGATGCTGAGCTTTAATTTCAGCATGTGGTGAAGACCACCATTCAAACCAGGCCGGCAGTCAGTGACGCACAGCTTCCAGAAAAGAACTGAATTAGAACTATTGCACAGAACCCAAGTCAAGGTTGCAAGGAGTTTCACTCGTCTGCAGGCTATGCCTTGGCATGAAGGAGCACATCTGCATGAGCATCCTCAGCTGCACTGCATTGTTCGGCGACAAACAGCACCAGGCCAGCATGATTGCCGTCATCAAGCATTTGCGCATCGCGACCAAGACTCAATGGCCTCTGCCTTTCTCTCCTGTGCGAGCCAAACACCAAGCAGCACGCTCACCGACACCACTCGACCCTGATCCGACCTCTTTATTACAGTAGACCGTGCATGGACATGTATTTGCTTCAAGCACGAAATGAAACACATGCAGGTGCTGCATGGCAATGGCTCCTGCAGCGTGTCTGCCCAAGCAATGCGCAATGTTTCACAGGATTGCCTTTGTATTGCTGGGCCGAGATCAATCAGTCTTAGCCTAACGTGTAGCGTGCTTCTGGGAGTGTTTGCATGTCTCAGCAAGTCACGCCAAGGCAACAACATCGATGTCGCAGAAGCAGCTCCTGCAGCAGGTCCCGTCTCCACCCGGCTCGGATTGGGTCCCTTAGGTGTTTTTCTTGCAGGTCCTGCAGGTAGGTGCGTAACTATCGGTTGCTAGTCTTCGGATCTCTCCTACATAGCCGTTGACCGATTGACCCTGCCCGTGCACTACCTGTGCAAGGTAGGCAGCGTTGTGTCCAAGATCTCTTGCACGGCAGCATTTACCGCCATTGGGGCTGAGGAGTCATGCGCTAAAGCAGACAGTAACTTCAGATCGATAAACGACGTGCCTTGCTGTTGAACCTATCGGTTGAGTCGAGTCTAATCAGCGTCTTCTTCTGCTGTCATCATGTGAGAGCGGATGCACAAGTTGCACAGGCGTTTGCTCTACTGCTGGACATGCACACGTCGCCGCACGTCCGCGATCCAATGAATGGCTGCAGCAAGCGCATCTATGAGTGCATGAGCCTTGAGAACGAGGTGTATGTCCCAGCTTATGAATCTGATACAACATCAAGTTGATAAACTGGGTACATGCAGGGCAGAATGCCGACCGATCAAATATCTGGAGGCATGCTTTTGACATAAAAACATCAAATTCAAAGAACCGGCTCGGAAATACAGAGCGGCAAAAAAGCAACACTGAGCATATAGACAGAAGAAAAAGGAACTACAACGAGCCATTGTTAATTATGACTAGGCAAGATGTTATAATATAGCTGAAAAAATTCATGTGTTGGTTTATGGGGATTGGTTGAGGTTGTGGGTTGAGGCTTGGTGTTGGCTGGTTGCTTGTGTTTACGGGGTGGATTACAACTAAAGTGTGTATAGTTGGATTATGAGTTCTAGGCGTGGAATTTGGGCTGGGGTGGTTGAGTTGGCTGGCTGGGGTGGTATCTTAAAAGCGGGATTGGTCTAGGCCTAGCTCCCTCCCCCTGCTGACCCTTAAGCCCATGGTGTATCAGGAGCTATGGCCCCTGAAGTCTCGTTTCATCCTAACCAAATCTGCAAACGACAACTCCCGCAAGTACCAAAGGAGCTAGCTTTTGCCACTTGAAGAACTGCGGTGACCCGCCACTGCTAACCTCTCGAACAAATCTAACCCTCTGACCCTCTGAATGGGAATGGTCCAGGAGCCGAGAACATCATTAGAACATAACGAACGGCTACAACCTCAAAGCCGCTCCTTGACACGGCAGGCTCCGGACGAACAAACGATGCTTGTTGTTACCTAGGCCTCAATTCACTGAAGTGTCGTTCACCGGCAACACACTTCCTGCCTCGGCAAAGCAAGCAACAAAAAGCACATAAATAAAAGCAACCACAGTAAATTCAAAGCACGACATCAACAGCCGCAGTCGCGGCCACAATCAAGGTTGCCTTCGTCACGGCGGCTTTGGCATGAAGTGTGCTACTGTACGGTCCTGGTTCCTTCACATCCATCCCACCTCCTTGTCTTGGGATGCCACTGATCGATTCCGGAAGCGGTGCTTGGAGCCGGTGGGCTACAAAAAGGAGGTGGCCAGGCATTCAATGTAGACGCTGGAGAGTTTAGCTCTGAATGCATATTTGCATACCCACAGCGCGCCAAATATCTAAATCCTGCGCAGCTTCTCAGCACATATCCAGCCTGCGAAATTACCTGCGGTATTGAAAGTTTGCCGGTGTTCGCAGGCAGCTTCAACATTTTCACTTAAGGTACTGATACGAAATTTATTGATTTTTTTCAGCTCCAAGTCACTCCACACAGCAAGTCAGATCACCCCTACGCACAGAGCGAACTTGTGCGTGTGCGTGCGTGTGTGCGTGTGTGTGTGTGTGCGCATGTGCGCATGTGTGCTTGCATGTGTGTTCGGGTGGATAGGTTCGGCTTGTAGCCTTCTCCCACGCTCTTGAAGCCAGTGTCTCCGTGTCGCATGCAACTTCAGTCTCTTAACTGGATTTTCTCCTTGCTGGCTGTCATGCGCAGCTCTAACAAGTCATATTGACCTTGCTTGGAGAGGAGGTTTTACTGCAAGCCGCTGTAGGCCTGGTCTGCATCGCTTCGAGTCTGGCTAAATAATTTGGGCCTGTGGCGTGAGTATGCGGGATTACACCCAGTGTTGAAGTGCTGCGTTGGCAACCACTTGCTGGCAAAGGTTTGGTCCCCCTGCTCCACGTATGTTCCGCAGAAGGCAAGGAGGCCTTTGTCCAGAGCCCGAGGACTGCTGGAGCAGGATTCTTGTGGTGCTTGCTTTGCTCCCTGCCCGCTGCTGACTTGCTCAGATCTCCCTTTGGAGGATCCTGGCAAAGCTATGTCACTTTATAGTGGGATCCCACCTCTGCACCGTGGCATATTTCCTTGCTACAGTAGTTCATTCTCGAAGTACCTGGTAACTACCTGTCACAAAATGTCGTCAGGATCGACCGCATGCTGTAGGCCGGTCTAACAACTGGGATCCCACCCCTGAGCATTTGCACGGCTTTGTTATTACCTTTCGGTAGGAGTAACCCGGAAGTGGACCAGTCAGGCCCAAGCAGCTGGCATGCCTGGCAGGTCTTCAGTGGCTTTCCGACGGTGGAAGTGAGGCAAGTCCAAGTCCCTGAGAACCTCGCTTATTCCAGATCCACCGCCCTTGCAATGAAGGGTTCGGCCTTGGCGCTGCAGTCCAACGTAGTTGAGCAAGCTTCAAAATTTTCTGGTGAGACCTGTCTCGGTATCATACTGTATCTCTTGAAAGACTGGCTGTTTTGTAGCCGAGACTCATGGAGAACTGGCCGGGCTGCGGGACAGTCGACATGCTTGCCTCACCGAGCGGGCAGTGTTTTGGTTCTCTTCAAAGCGTGAGTTTCCGTCCGCTGCATGCCTCCTAACGGCAACCGTAGGAGAAATGTTTGCCAAAGCCAATGGAGCTCCTCAACTGGTTCCCGGTACCTGCTCGAGAGCGCCGTGCTCGAACCACAGCCTACCAGGCTGCTGCAAGCAGCGGCTCTCCGAGGGCACAGCTTCCCTAGAATTCTCGACGTTAGCACTTCTCCCATCACTCAGCCCGAGTTCTACCGCCCGATTAGTGCGCGCCTGGATTTTCGATGCAGCCTTGAGCTCCCGCTGACACAGCTTGAGATTCACCTGTCTCAGAGAACCCTAGCTGAATTCGATGACAAGCGCTGCGCTATCTACACTTCTTGTTGACCCTATTCTACGACAGCAGCGGGAAGATGGCAGCTCGTGCACAGAAGGTGGCAGGTAATTATACCGATATACCATTAGCTATTGCTATAATGCACAAAGTAAGTGAAAAAGAAGAGTGACACTTGCAACAGCGATTCATGGTAGCAGCTATAGCAGTACAGTAGTAAGGTAGCAGCCCGTAACAGTAGCAAATAGCAGCCGAAGCAGTAGCAGTCACAAACACAGGCGCCGTAGCAGCAGTGGTGGTTGTGGTGGTGGTACTATTAGTAGCAGTGGCAGTCGTCGTCGTCGTCGTCGTAGTAGTAGTAGTGGTAGTAGTAGTAGTAGTAGTAATAATAATAGTTTTTTTTGTCGTAGTAGTAGTAGTAGTGGTAGTAGTAGCAGCAGCAGCAGCAGCAGCGGCAGTGGTGTAGTGGTCGTCGTCGTACCAGCACTAGTACTAGTACCAGCACGTCGAATTTGAAACCGAAGTTCAACACCGTCCAAACGATGTAGAGTACTTCATACATGGCGGCCGCTTGAAACACCCAATTTCCCTACGTGCATTGCAGCCGAAAGAGTTGGGGGCGTCACTCTGTCGGCTTCCCGGGAACTCAGCCTGCGATGCTTCGCGCAGATTGGGCAACCGCCACTGACACATCGGAGCATTGCAGCCAAGATTATCAACGTATTGTGATAATGCCGCCGTTGCTGAAGCTGCAGTATTCCCCTTATGACAGCGGTTTGCCACGATCAGCAAGCTGCAAAGCCTCCAGAAACGGAGATGGAAAAACTCAATGCCAAAAGACAGCAGCACTGCTGAGAGCTTGGCACTTCCCGCTCTTCTCGCTCAATTTCCTCGAGGCAAGCAGACACAGGAGAATTCAAGAAGTTCATGCGCGGATTGCCCTGGGGCGCAGTCTGCTTTTATTCTGCGCTGCCGCTCGTCCCATTCCCGCTGACGCCGGATCCTTGCCTCAGGTTGAGGCAACTCATTGCAGCCACATGAGGAGTTCCTGGAACTTGCACTTCAAAACGCGCCTGCTCACGCTCCCTGTGCTTGGCCTGCCGCTACCGCGTGACAGCACCAATCTCATGAAAAAGCTTTGCCGGCCCAAGATGCCGGGGACCCCAGGCAAGAAGCTCCGCCTCGTCCTGTTCGGCACGCTGGCGGCGCAGTGCCTCGCGGTGTCGCCGTAGCTCCTGGGCTTGAGATTTCAAGAGTGAACATCTCAGCAAATTGCTCTCCTCTCCCATTCGCGTTTGGGAGCGTGCTACTTGCCTGGCCGGACCTGCCTGCTGATTTGAGTATCATCATGTAGGCAGATCGGAACAGTCAGACTGCGTAGGACCTTAACAAAGGAAGCTGTTTGCAATCACGCTGCAACCGTAACTGAACCCGTTCAATGCATTTCAATGCTGTTCACCCACGCTCGAAAACCGTCCTGTTCTTCGTCATCCGTGGCCTCGGCAAGGGTGTCGGAGTCTAGGCCCTCCACGGGCATGAGTTCGCGATTGTTCTCGTGGTAATGGCGGTCTCACCGAGAAGTGCATAGCCCCACTGTTGGATTGGCGGCGGGGGGTCTTGGAACATGCCCACGGAAAGGCGGCAAGCAACTTAAGGACGATGGAGGGCAGCTCTATAACGAAATCGGGTCGTGATTGAGTCACGCACACGAAGTGTCGCCTCCATTTTAGAAGCACCACTTTCCGACCTCAGCATGACCCTATGTGGAAGTCATGTCGGTGCCAAAGTAACAACGTCTTTACCATGGCATAGTCTTCGCATCCAAGTCATGTCTTGCCTGTTTTCGATCTTGCCGAACCGAATACGACTGTAACTGCATGCTCAGGTCCAGCAACCGAGCCTTAGAGCAGTCTGTGAGACGAGTCCGTAGATGCCCTCCTTTCTTTGGAGAACTAGGCAGCCGTGGACCTCAAGTCCTGCACCCCGTCGATTGAAGCATATTGAACCCTACCAAACCCTTCAAAATCATATATTTTATGCTGACAAAGCATTCAAGCTGTGCTTATTTTTTGCAATTGGACGCTCTGCCATAGAACCATTCTGTTGGTGGCACTGTAGTGGCGATCATGAAGATCACGGGGTGATGCACATGGTTGTAATGGTAACGATGACTATGATGAGGACGACGATCGACAATGCCGAGGACTGTGCTGAAAGGGGTCGAAGTGGTAACTTGATAATGAGGCTGATATTCAAATTTATTGCATCTTGCTGCGATGCGACGACGCCGTTGTCGACATTATACTTCCCGTTGTAGCAGAAGCAACAAGGATAACCAGAAGAAGAAGAGCACGTAAGAACAAGTCAAGCACAAGAAAAAGCAGCAGCAGCAACAACAACAGCAGCAGCAGGAGCAGGAGCAGGAGCAGGAGCAGGAGCAGCAGCTGCAACAACAACAACAACAAAAAGAACAACAGCAGCAGGAGCAGGAGCAGGAGCAGGATCAGCAGCAGCTGCTGCTGCAGCAGCAGCAACAACAACAGCAACAACAACCACAACCATCACAACCATCACAACCATCACAACCACAACCACAACAACAACAACAACAACCAACAGCAACAACAACAACAACAACGCAAACGAACAACAGCAAACAACAACAATCAACAGCAACATCATATCACCAACACCAAAAGCGTTTGCGAAAGCAAGAGCAACAGCAAGAGCAACAGTGACAACAACCACAACCAAAAACAAAACCAAAACCAAAAGCACCACCACCACCGCCACCACCGCCACCACCACCACCACCACCACCACCACGACCACCACCACGACAGCGACCACGACCACGACCACCACCACCACGACCACCACCACCACAACCAGCCGCAGCAGCAGCAGCAGCACCAGCAGCAGCACCAGCACCAGCACCACCACCACAATCTGAAAAGGCGGAAATTGTCTTTGACATTGGTATTTGCATTGTAAACGCCATGCCTGCATGTTATGTCGTGTTGTGTGCTTTTTGCTCGGTGGAGGCGATGGTGTTGGGGCTGGGGGGAACGGGTGATGACATTCATGCCTGCACGCCTCCATGACTTCGCGGTCTCTGACTTAATATAGCCAATAGCCGAGTAATTAGTTTGCGAGTTCTTAACCTGCATTGCCGAAAACCAGAGTTTCGGTAGACTTTTGCATCTGCCTAGCAACCAAAGCTTAATCGTAGTTGTTCAGTTCTTGGAATTGGAGTTTGGGCACTGCACAAGTTCGGGTGTCCTGCGCGTACTGCCACGAAAACGACCGAGAAAACACACTGCCGGTAGACACAACTACAACAAAGACGACGACGATGACGACCACCACCACCACCACCGCCACCACCACCACCACCGCCACCACCACCACCACCGCCACCACCACCACCACCACCGCCGCCGCCGCCGCCACCACCACCACCACCACCACAACAACACCANNAGCAGCAGCAGCAGCTGCTGCTGCAAGGGCAACAGCAACGGTAACAACAGACCCCCGGATATCCCCGGCTCCTACCTGGTTACCTGGTCAGGTCATGTCCTATCGTATCGTGGCAACAAGGTCTTTGTACTACAAGAACAGGCAACAGAGTGTCAACAAGATGCAGACCGGCTGCCGGTCACTGCCCAGACTCAGGAAAAGCAATGTTGATGCACTATCAGTCGTCAGCGTTAACAGATTTCTTTGGCTCTGCCAGGCACTCACATTTTCAAGTGCCTCGCCAGGTGCTGGAACCAATACATAGCACAAGGAAACAAGCTATGAACTCTTCAAATTAAGCATGGATGTAGACACTGCACCCTACACAGTTCGTCCACTCCGGATTTCTGGCTGGCAGTTGCCGGAAGACTTCTTCACCACGTACGTCCAACTCGGCCCTTGAGGCTTCATTTCTCACGGGGTTTCGGGGTTTTGGGCTCAGCATTCCACGATTGTCCTTGCGCGGGCAGGGTGGGCTCCAAGCAGGAGTCTGAGGCCTGCTTGTGCTGGAAAATTGTCGAATCTCACATCTCGTCACATCAGGTCGTCAAAATCGAAGTCCCCCCAACCTGAGACAGGGCATGCTGACCAGAAAGCCGGCGACCACTGCACACATCACAGACTTCCGCCCTGAACGTAGACTGCAAGCCATTCAAAATTCTGCTCCCCCCACTTCAGGACACCCGCCAAGGGACCATCCTGGGTGTTTGCCGTAGGCTCTGTTCTTCCCGTAGGGATGGTGTGCTCCAGCCTTGCGTGCCAAGCACACTCGGAGGTCTTGCAACACATGCTGATGCCCGTACCCATATCAAAGCATTGATAAGCAAAGTAGTGAATCCCAAAGAGTTCACATTGCGATGGCTAAGACTGCCCAGCCCCCATTTCCTATACTGCGTGCAAACCCAAGCAGCTGATCGTCAGGATTGAAGACCTGCTTGGGTCATGTATCTGTTAACGGTCATTGAATCACCAAGTTGTGTCAAGCAGGTCTACCAGTCTGCCACGCATGAGGCTGTGGCAATTGCATTAACTACCGCCTGCAATGCCGGAAAGACTTGACAACGTAACACCACCATACCTTCGACACATTGCCAACTAACAAATGGCATAGTTGTAGCGTGAGGAGGACGAGGAGGAAGCGCAGCAGCTGAAGGAGCAGCAGCAGCAGCAGCAGCAGCAGCCGCAGCAGCGTCGGTTGGAGACACCAAATTATCTAAAAATCAGCAAAACCAAGCCAGGCAGAACCTGCTCTCCATCTGGACTACAAGCACCATTGCTTCCCAGATGCATCCCATCCGGAGGTGATCTCGACTGGAGGGCGTGGAGCACTTCCTTCGTCGCCCTCCTCGGTTGGATCCTTGGCAAGCCACTGCACGAATCAGGACCAGAAGCTTGAGATTCAAGATGTCGAGGTTTCCTGTCGCAAGGCATTTCATAGACGCTACTGCGAACAACCGCCAAGAGCGCACGCGCACTCAAATCGGCCTAGCTGCATCACGGGATATTTGGCAAGCAGAATCGAAAAATCCACGAGATTTCCGGTTTTCCCCTATAGCATCCTGTGGCAGATCCTGAGGCGGTGCAGCCGCCGCACCGGCGTCAAAATGTTCATTGGTCTATGTCTGTATGTAGGTGCGCCACAAATATGCATTTAGATGCATTTAGTATTTTCCCCCCCGTTCCAGCCAAGGTGTTCCCGTCCTGTCGTTCGCAGCACCTAACACAAGTACCACTAAGCTGCCTCCGAACTGAATCGCTTTGTAGCTCAACCGAGACGCAGAGTGACTTGTGCTACTGAGTATCATCGGATCCGTGCTGCCAGGACACCCTGTGAGATGCACCCGCACCTGCCGGCACAGGCCCGTTGGAAGCGCTGACCGGTCTTCTTCCTGCGGTTCAGGGCACTTGCTAAAAGTCACCTGCTTCCAATAGCGTGGAAGAGGCACTTTCTGCTCCAAGGAAAGCAACCGTCCAAGCCTGACGAAGGGTTGCTGCGACAGCAAGCTCGTACCCGGGCAGAGGACATTACGCAGGCCCACCGTAGGCTGACTAACGGCTAGGCTATTTGAGATTATCTGGCGTCTAAAGGATGCACTGCGCCGAACCCATCTCGAACATACTCATTTGCGACGCGTGCCTTCAGCTGCATCCATCTGGAGCAGCGTCTGTTCCGGCTCAGGGGCGCTTACATCTGGAAGCGCGCTGGTAAATGCCTGCTTGCATGAAGCTGTGACAGAGAATCGTGGCCTTATGTAAAATGCAATTATGAAGTCACATGTAATGTCGACATGCGCAGGTTTGGTCCATGATTCAATATTTCTCGGAGATGCACGGAACACCATGGTACCTGCACATCAGACTCCGCGCCTCCCTGCTGCTTTGCAAGATGGCCAGCTGTTCCGCCAGGACAGACCTCGTGTTAGACATCACGCTCTGGTGCTGATTGACTAGTCTGCATTCATTCCCACCACACGCGTCCGAGCCATATCACTTCAGAGTTGATGTCACTAGTCGCCGCATGCTGGTGCATGTCAGGCACCGCTGAAGCTTTGAGGCAGCTGCACCTGCCTGGCAATGCGCTGGGCGACACCGCGAGCCTGGCTATGTCGAGCCAACGTAATCGGGGTCATTAGGCAACGCTGTTAGGGCAGGGTTGGTCATCGACAGCGGGACGCTTTTTCGCATCAAGGCAGCAAGCTCTTGCGACTCTTGTGCTTGAGAGGGTCGAAGAGTGAAAGGTCAATGGCTTCAAACATCTTGAGATGTCCAGCTGAATTCGGATGGCTCGCGTCGCGCATGAGACCATCCAACCACCTCGCACGAACGAAAAGGAAAGCTCGAGCAATCTGCTACATCTGTCTTCCAATGCTTCGATTCAGATATCGGGCGCGTCAAGAACTATGGTTCCGCACTGGCAAGTCCACAGCAGCTCTACGTGCACGAACCAACACCCGATCAACTCCAAGATCAGTGCCTCCCCTGCCCATCGTGCAATGCTCCCAGCCAGTCCAGCATCGGGACGGACTGCTTCGCACAAAAATCGTGCGCGTCCTCATGCACGTACGATGACCGACAAGTTGGCATGCATCGGTGTAGGTACTTAGGTACCACTTGACCCTGTGCCGTGAGTGGGCCGTAGCATTGATGACAGCACAATGCAAGAACTACAGTAGTTGGGGCAACTAGATCACGCACATGTACAGTTTCCTGCATCCTCGGCATAGACACGACATGAAGCTTTGATTCGTAGATGAAACAGATAAGCGTTGTCTTGTGAAAATCTGCCGCCTGCTAACTCTGGAAATTCTGTAATTCCTAAATATGCGTTTTGAGGTCCGTTTGGGGTTGTCTGGGAGATTGCGTTTTCGATGCGTTTGGGATCCGTGTGGGTTGAGTTGGGACGCTTCTACAGTGCGTTTAAAATGCGTTTGGAAGTGCGTTTGAAGTGCGTTTTGGGGTCCGTTTTGGCCCCGGGGGCGGGGCCTGGCAGGGGACCGGGGCCAAACGGATCCCCAACGGATCCCCCAATGGATTCCCCAACGGATTCCCCAACGGATCCCCCAATGGATTCCCCAACGGATTCCCGACGGATCCCCCAACGGAAAAAACACGCACGTTTCCTAGGAAAAGTGCGTTTATTTTCCGTTGGGGGATCCGTTGGGGTGTCCGTTTGGGCCGGGGCCAAACGGATTTTTTAACGAGTTCCCCAACGGATTCCCCGACGGATCCCCCAACGGAAAAAAAAAACGCACTTTTCCTAGGAAAAGTGCGTCCGTTGGGGGATCCGTTGGGGTGTCCGTTGGGCCGGGGTCAAGCGGATTCCCCAACGGATTCCCCGACG